GTGTCAATGGAAACCTGAGGTGGAATTTCCCCCAAAATCTAAAATGTTGTTGCACAATAGCAATAGAATTATTTTTAGCTTAATTTAATCACACAAAAGCATTCTCAGCAGCACCTGCACTTTGCCTGCCGAATGATCACAGATAATAGAAAATCCATACAAATCGGATAATATTTTTATTGTTATATTGTAATAAATTTGAAGAGTTTCTTGACAAAACTGTTCATCATAAGAGCCTGAACCTTGATTTAATAAAATTATGAAACAATATATTTGTAATCATTTTGTATTCCTAATATAAATTCATTTGTATATTATTACAAATATACACACAGACATACACATGTATACACAGACCGCATACATACGAGATGTGAAGATTAATTCCCGGAACATACTCGTGAAATAAAATTTGACTAACCTGGTCACTATTAGTTGTCGTATATTTCAAATTACTACCCTAATGAAGCTAAAGAGATGTTAGTGCCATTGCTGGAAACATTCTTGGAATTCGTTTTCTGGAAGACATTTCATTAATACAATCTTATGTTGCTAGATCTTAAGCGTGTCAGTAAATTTCTCTCCTTTTACAGTAATTTTCAATTTTCTGAATTGCCGAAAATTACAAAGGGTCAAGTCTGGTGAATAAGGAGGATGTTTTATTTTTGCAATGAATTTATTAGCTATAAAATCGCAAAAGTCTAACATATCATGCGCAGGCGCGTTGCTATAGCGGAGAATCCCCTTATTACGCCAGAGTTCGTGCCCTTTCCTCTGAAGAGATTCTCTCAACCATTTTGCCACTTCCAAATAAAGATTTTGAATGACAGCTTCTCCTTTGTGATAAGGCCTTGTAATAAACTATCTCCTTATGGTAAAAGAGACACACAACATTGGTTTTGAACTGCGAGCGAGAAATTCGTGCTTTTTTCGGCCGAGTTAATTCTTTGTTTTCCAATATATTCTCTGGTGTTTTGTTTCCGGGTCGTATTGAAAGCATCCCGTTTCATAACCCTGTTAAACATTGTCCATTATTCAAAAGATCAGATGACGTTCTTTTTGTGTTCATCAGTCAAAAGTCCAAACTATGTTAACCATGTAGTATAAATGTTAAGTTGCTTGTATGATAAATAAGTGTAGCGAGTGTCTAGGTAGGTTTTTATTTTTATGTTTTGTTCGAGTAAGTAACTAGTCACCATGACTTTAAAAAGAATATACTAAATATATATATCTAACAAATGATGATGTTTTAGTTTGCTAAACTCACTAAATAGTCGATGTATAAATCGATCTTCTGTTCATAAATTCTATTTGAATCGAAAGAGAAATTCTATTATTGCTAGTCTGGTAGTTTGAAATGCGCCTTTTTCAATGTTAATGTTAATCGTGTTTGTCACACACGATACAATAGTCTTAAAGGTTAAGACGTTTTAAAGATTATGTAAATAAAGAAATATGAATCATATTTTTGGTTCGCAACGTAAAAATGCTTGTTTTTGATTACCAGTAGTCAAATTGGTAAACGGATACACATAAGATGATGTAATTTTAAAAGTAGAATTTGGTCAAGGCAACCTATTAATAGGAATACATTTTTGATAGCAATTGTTGACACTTCAACAACAGCATTATGATAGATAGATATGTTGAGAAATATATACAAATGTATGAGTATTGTTTTACATTTTACACTTGTTTAGATAAATTGGTTATTATTTAAGGGAACATGGTTAAGAATTTTACACTTGTACTTTGAATCAACGCAGAAAAATGGCTGCTCAGAATTCATCGTCTTTAGCTCCAGGCGTTGATCCGATGACGACTTTCATAATTAAACAGTGTTTCCTAACTTTAATTTTGTCTGCGTAGGATTCCCACTTTAATCATGGCCGCCTGCTATATTCCGCTCGAGTAGACGTGCAAATAAATACATGAACTTTGGGGGGGGGGCGGCATAAACACAGAATGTTGGTCTTATAATTTATAGGGTGGAAACAATTTATTACTAGATTTTACTAAAATAATTTCAGTATTCTTTTATTGATGGTCGAAGAAAATGAAAGGCACAACTTCATCTAAATGTTCCACCTGTGTATCACAGTCATACAATACAGCAACACCTGAAGTGAGTAAACAAACAATACTGCGATTGATCCAATTTCTAGTTATTTATTCATGATTTAATATTCACAAACTAATCTCACATTGAATCTCTTATTTCAGAGTCTCACTGTCATACGAACCAAGGATAAAATTACCCAGACCCCACGACCACTGTCATACTGAAGTCGGTATCAATTAATAGAAGGGTGCCACAAAGGTTAGAATACGTCGGGATTAGGCACTCCTAATTATAGAACTGCCTGATGTAGCAATAATGTAAAGAGGATGGAAACAGATCATACACTTTGATCCGCTTTTTACCTATCTTCCTATGACACAAGGTCAGTTTAATGTGGGATGCTCATGCATATGAGTATCTCACCTTAAACTGACCACACATTACACAGGATAAAATTTACTTAGTGCAATGAGGTAGGTGCTGCTGCACAGTTTGAATCTCCGGAACCAGGTTTATCTTGAAATGAAAGATACCACATTTTGATCTGGTATTTACTCACCTCCCCACGGTGGCATGACGTAACACATAGTCGTTTATAATGTGGGGTGCCCATACGCGTACATATGGGCAAGGAGAAAAATTGCCCAGTTTCTGCAAACACTTTGATCTCATCTCGAAGGCCGGGTTGCTTACTCACCTCCTCATGATGTCAAGATGTAACACAAAACTGTTTTATTGTGAGATTGCCATCGGCCACTCAAAAAAATTACCCGGTCCTCACGACAACTGTCACGCTGGCGTCGGTATTCCATTGCCACCCCCTCCTTTTTTGGTATAATGAGGAAGGTACTGCCACGGGATTAAATATTTTTCCGTTAATGGCCCGAAGACAAACGTGACAGAGAAGTGATGAAAAGTTACTCCACTTTGATATCAGCCCGAAGGCCGAGTAAATGATAATACGAAAAGCTGATATAGATATTTAATTGCCCTCTTTCCGGAGACGTGATAGGACTCATGGTCTTTTTAATGTTGAGAGCGCAGACACATAGGCTCAGGATAAAACTTTTCAAGAGCATTCCACCAGTCCATCATTTTTTAGTGCAATGAGGTAGGTTGGAATCCCCGGGACCAGACATCACTTAAAGCTTTTCTGTGAATCGTCTGAAGATAGAAACACGGCAGAGAGTTGAAAAACAGATACTTCACTTTGATCCTAGCACAAGGGCCGAGGGAAAAGCGTTCCGATCCGATGTATGATATGGCATTGAATACTGGAAAATTTCATCACAGATGAAGAGAAAACTTGAAGTAACAGAGAAATGGTTCTACAGAAGAATGCTGAGAATACCATGGACAGTGCATGTAAGCAATGAAGAAGTTTTAAGGAAAATGGAAATAAAAAATAAACTTAAAACCAGAAAAAGACAGTTTAAATTTCTAGGCCACATAAAGAAAACTTTCATACATAAAAGGCTACATCGAGTAACTCACTTTAACTTGTGTGAATGGATGGCAGAACAGGGAGTGAGAGGGATAGGTATCTTTTTTTTTTGCAGTGAGCTTCACCTTATACAAGGCTCGAGAACTACTCGCGGTAGAGGTTTATAGAGTAAGAGGAATAGATTATGAGGGTAGGTGGGGGAAGATAACATTTAAACCTAGACATAAAGAGATTATGTGATCACGAAAATATCCTCCTGGGAGTTGGTTCCACAGATCTGTGGTTCGCAGGAAGAAGCTGCTCGAGTGGAACTTACTTCTCACCAGTGGAATACGGGGGGGGGGGTGGAATGAGGGTGGTTCACTACAAGTGGTGTGGCGGTTCCTAGCCGTGAAGGACAGAACTGGTGGAAGTAAAGAATGTAGTTCGTCTGAGCACTTTCCATGGAAATGGCGATAGAGCAGTGAGACTCTTGTTACATCTAGTCAGTGAGAGAGGAGATAGTAAAAAGATAAATACAAAGGAAGTTATGGAGAGCCATAATCCCCCCACGTGATGATGATCTGTTATAGAAACAGTGAACTTGGCACTAGAAAATAAAAGATGTCTACAGTGTTTTATTTGCAATAATTAACATATTTTTTCATTGAATGTTGCAAGATATTTATATGCGTGAACTAATTTTTGAGTTACTGATAAAGAAATGTTATCAAGACCGTATGAGGCTTGAACTAAGTCTTCATGCCTTCTGTCCTATATATGTAGCAGTTCATGATAATCACATGGGGAAAAAAATCTATTGCCTATGATATAAGGTATGTATTGTTTATGATATCGGTTTTATGATATAGACAATTGTTTGCTAGAAAAGAATGTACTTATGAAATGTTTAGTTTAAAAAAAATAGTTTTCCAAGAAAATTAGTTGGCAGGATTTTAAGCATAACCTATCAATTGTATACATACATTCACAGCTACTTTTTATGCTCGTTAAATTTACGCCGATAAACTACATCCGGCAGTAAGATCGTGAGAATGAAGGTCTTGAGGAGCGGCGAACCACCACTTAGCTACTGTTGTTACCATGTTCACCTTGACCCGGGGTGCTAGTACCTGTTAGGGTCACAGCTATGGGCAAATTATAGACCCCCGAAAACAAAAATCAACCGTACATTTTTTATAAAATAACGAACAATACCATTTTATAGTAAACGGACAAATAAATGCAGCATTAAAAAAATATAAAAATATATTTTTTATATTAAAATTACCAACAATATATTTTATGAGCTGCAAACTGTATAGCTAAAAAATGCCTTTGCTTTGAAAGTATAAAATTATGTGCAAAATATCTGTAGTTGAAAGCATAAGATTACGTACAAAATATTTAGATTTCGGCATTAAATAACCCATAGAGGTGTTGATATGCCGCTAAACAGAATCAATCAACCAATCAACCAACTAAATTTACGCGAAACGTCTAAATACTTAGGACTTACGGCCATATCACGTTAAAACTCCGGTTCTCGAACGATCACCGAAGTTAAGCAACGTTGAGCTTGGTCAGTACCTAAATGGATGACCGCTTGGGAATACTAGGTGCTGTAAGCTTGGATATGCGGTTGATGCAATGAGAAATCGGAGAGCCAAGTTCGAATTCTAGTCGGTTGGTTATATTCACTTATATTCCATTTGGAAAGATATGAATTCGCCTCTTCTCCCCAAGATTAATTTAATATTCCCTTGCAAAAAAAAAAGAAAAAAAAAATTAAGAAAGAAAAAAAAAGGAATTATTCAATCCAATGATATGTTTCTATGCTTTGGCTTTAAATATCCTACAAAAGGTTGATAAGCCGTAAAAAATAAATAAATCTAAATATTTAAAATATAGAAATTGTAATAATTTCTTTGAAAGTCTAAACAGAAAAGCTACTTTTGCTAGTCTAGTAGTTTGAGAGGCCCATCCACCGTTGAAATTAAATTTATTTCAATACGATCACAGCATACACAACTTTTTAATACTTTGTTCTTTCAGGGGGTAGGTAATCATGGCTTTTTACAGATTCCTTTTCTTTACCATCACTGCCATGATTCCCTGGGAAAGATAGATAAAGTGGTTTCTCATTGTCTTCTCCACGGTTTGGAATTCAGAGGAAATTGTTTTCTCCTAGACTACCTGCCATCCAAAGCTAGATAGCCCAGTCTGCCATGCTTTTTACTCTTTCTGGTTTCAGGGAAGTACATTATAACGGGAATGTATTCTAGAAATATCAACTGAGCAATAACCTTACCCCAGTGAGAAAGCTTCTCTAGTGTAAAATGATAGTAATTTGATGATTGAGACCCCGTAAACGTGGCGGGATTTCTAAAATTCTTTGATGATGACGGGAATGTTGTTTACACTATGGTGACTTTATTAGGTTGACGTGAGGAATGTCACTAAAGCGCCACAGAAAGGCTTTTCTAAGAATTTTTTTCTTTTTGTCATTATGATAAAGTATTAATATTTGTTTTTTTTTTCAACGAAGTGGATTGTAGCCAAATTGTTTCTTTTTACGCCAAGTGAAAATTCATACATATAAACTCGAGAGCGCACTCAAGCTTGTTACTCATAACGAGTAGGGACGTGATGAAAATTTAGGTTTGTCCTTTTTCGACATTGATTACCCTTACAATGTTAGAGAGCTTTGTCTACTCTACTATTATCCGTAGTTAGATGCAGTCAGGAGAACAGATGGATTCTTATTTTTTAATAATATTAATGTAACAACTTCGGTTAATATTTAAACTCAGCTTGACGATTCTATTATTCTGAGCTGATAATCACGTATACCATATATATATATATATATATATATATATATATATATATATATATATATATATAGTGGATACTCGTATTTGAAATAGACGCCCCATTTTTTTAAAATTTTTACTTTAAAAAAATATATATATAAATATATATATAAATATAAAATTGAATATTGAAGTCAACACGCAGAGGTAACAGATTGTTTCATGCTAAACACAATCGTCATGCCACATTGCATTTAGTTCTGTCGGCTTTAAGTGTTGACTTCAATGTCCACTTTTATATTTACATACGCTCTATCTCTGATAACGAGCACTTTATACTATAAATATAGCATAACTTAAAACTGTATTTCTTCATATATATATATATATATATATATATAGTCGACTCTCCCGTCGAAATTCTACGTATGAGGGTCAAGCAGATCAGTTTCCAGGAAACCGACAGCCCGACACCGGCACATGAGATTTGATTATAGTGGTGAAGGCCTCGTGCAGGACCATCCACACTTTTTGAAGGGACGAATACAGAGACCTGGTGCACCGAATGCCACAAGGTTCCCAAACGACCCTCCGCAGGTTTTGAATTCAGAGTTGTCCTTCTCCTAGACCAGTTGCCATCAAAGGCTATAGAACCCAGTCTGTCCTGGTATTTTACCCATAGCTGGAGGCACGGTGGGGTAATGGATAGCGGCTTGGAATGAGGAATCCAAGAGCCGAGTTCGAATTCCAGTCGAATCCATTACATTCACTTACGTGTTAATACCCTTGGAAAAGGTATGATATACACACACTCATATATATATATATAAAGAGAGAGGTGTAAAAGGAGAGAGAGATTTGTTTTTCTTCACTTTCCTATTTTGGGTTTCTTTATATTACAGCCGTTTATTTTCTTACTTTTACCTTTTAGTACATTTATTATATATATATATATATATATATATATATATATATATATATATATATCGATCTAGTAATTTACTCAGTGTAGCTTAGATGTCACACAATGCAGAAAGTATGGAGCACCTAGTGCGGTTTGGTTGTTTTGTTTTATTGCATATCAAAACCTCAGTGAGTCATTTAATGCCAACAATTTTTTTTTTTTAGATACGTAATGATAGTTTGGTAAAAAAGATGTGTATGTATACATATATATTTGAACCGTTTTTCATTTACTCATATTTTTGAGTACAATCACATGTATTACTGGTAATTTTTTTTTTTCAAAAACGTATTGCTGGTAATAGTTGTTTTTTTCAAAAATTTATTTCTAGTAATTTTTTTCAAAGTATTTCTGTTTTTAAAACCTATTTTTACACTTTTCTGCTTTTACCTCAGTTTCGGGATTAACTATTTTCCCATAGCTGGAACCCTAACAGGTGCTATCACTCTGGGTCAGGGTGGACTTGGGAACACCAGCAATTAGGGTGGTTCCACACTCCTTCAAAACCTCCTTGCTGTTGGACGTAGTTTATTGTTTTAACTTGGACGCGTACCTAGTGTGGATCGAATTCATTAAGACAAGCCTGCTAACCATTATATCATGTCGAAGTGCTCATCTATCTATCTATCGAGAAGGAGGGAGAAGATAAGTAGGTATGAAGGTTTTCTTTATTTATTGTTCACCCAGTACGAAACGCAAAAGCCACAAATGTATAGGGTTACTGAATGAGATTGCTGTATGAACGTAGGACGGGGAGCTAAGAAGTGCAGATTATAAGGATATGCAAGAAGAATAAAGGTTGACCCAAGACTTGAAGAGATTGATTGTAGCGATAGGGAAGCATCCTCTCAGGAGTATGTTCCACAAAGGAGCGGTTTTGGGGGAAGTAGCTGTCCGAATGGAACGTCCCCTTACTAATGGAATAAGAAGGGAAAAGGGATGATTCGCCCCAGTATACATGCTATGGTGGACCTTTGTTAAGGTCCGAACTGGAGGAATGTAGTTCGTCAGAACATTTGCCATGGAAATAGCGATAGGTTTGCGACGTTGCGAACATTTGCCATGGAAATAGCGATAGGCTTGGGACGTTGCGAACATTTGCCATGGAGATAGCGATAGGCTTGCGACGTTGCGAACATTTGCCATGGAAATAGCAATAGGCTTGCGACGTTGCGAACATTTGCCATGGAAATAGCGATAGGCTTGCGACGTTGCGAACATTTGCCATGAAATAGTGATAGGCTTGCGACGTTGCGAACATTTGCCATGGAAATAGCGAGAGGCTTGCGACGTTGCGAACATTTGCCATGGAGATAGCGATAGGCTTGCGACGTTGCGAACATTTGCCATGGAGATAGCGATAGGCTTGCGACGTTGCGAACATTTTCCATGGAAATAGCGAGAGGCTTGCGACGTTGCGAACATTTGCCATGGAAATAGCGAGAAGCTTGCGACGTTGCGAACATTTGCCATGGAGATAGCGATAGGCTTGCGACGTTGCGAACATTTTCCATGGAGATAGCGATAGGCTTGCGACGTAGCGAACATTTGCCATGGAAATAGCGATAGGCTTGCGACGTAGCGAACATTTGCCATGGAGATAGCGATAGGCTTGCGACGTTGCGAACATTTGCCATGGAAATAGCGATAGGCTTGCGACGTTGCGAACATTTGCCATGAAATAGTGATAGGCTTGCGACGTTGCGAACATTTGCCATGGAAATTGCGAGAGGCTTGCGACGTTGCGAACATTTGCCATGGAAATAGCGATAGGCTTGCGACGTTGCGAACATTTGCCATGGAGATAGCGATAGGCTTGCGACGTTGCGAACATTTGCCATGGAAATAGCGAGAGGCTTGCGACGTTGCGAACATTTGCCATGGAGATAGCGAGAGGCTTGCGACGTTGCGAACATTTGCCATGGAAATAGCGATAGGCTTGCGACGTTGCGAACATTTGCCATGGAAATAGCGATAGGCTTGCGACGTTGCGAACATTTGCCATGGAAATAGCGATAGGCTTGCGACGTTGCGAACATTTGCCATGAAATAGTGATAGGCTTGCGACGTTGCGAACATTTGCCATGGAAATAGCGATAGGCTTGCGACGTTGCGAACATTTGCCATGGAAATAGCGATAGGCTTGCGACGTTGCGAACATTTGCCATGGAAATAGCGAGAGGCTTGCGACGTTGCGAACATTTGCCATGGAAATAGCGATAGGCTTGCGACGTTGCGAACATTTGCCATGGAAATAGCGATAGGGCTTGCGACGTTGCGAACATTTGCCATGGAAATAGCGATAGGCTTGCGACGTTGCGAACATTTGCCATGGAAATAGCGATAGGCTTGCGACGTTGCGAACATTTGCCATGAAATAGTGATAGGCTTGCGACGTTGCGAACATTTGCCATGGAAATAGCGAGAGGCTTGCGACGTTGCGAACATTTGCCATGGAAATAGCGATAGGCTTGCGACGTTGCGAACATTTGCCATGGAGATAGCGATAGGCTTGCGACATTGCGAACATTTGCCATGGAGATAGCGATAGGCTTGCGACGTTGCGAACATTTGCCATTGAAATAGCGAGAGGCTTGCGACGTTGCGAACATTTGCCATGGAAATAGCGAGAGGCTTGCGACGTTGCGAACATTTGCCATGGAAATAGCGATAGGCTTGCGACGTTGCGAACATTTGCCATGGAGATAGCGATAGGCTTGCGACGTTGCGAACATTTGCCATGGAAATAGCGATAGGCTTGCGACGTTGCGAACATTTGCCATAGAAATAGCGAAAGGCTTGCGACGTTTCGCCAGTAGGAGAAGATTTGTAGAATAGAAAATAATTAA